ATATCACTACAGACCCTGCAAACATCAATAGCATAACAGGAGAATATTGTGAACATCTCTCAACAATAAACTTAACAGCTTAGATAAAATGGATCACTTCCTCAAAAAATACAAAAAAACATGACTCATCCAATATAAAACAAACTGAATAACCCTGAAACTAATAAGGAAATTAATCTTTAAAAAACTACCTCTCTAGCCCCAAATCTCCAGGCCCAAAAGGTTTCATTAGAGACTACCAAATGCTTCAAGAATAATTAACAATTTCTAGATTGTTATCTAGACAATTTCTCCAGAAAGTAAAAGAAATGGGAATACCTCCTACATCGTTTTGTAAAGATACTATCCTAATGTCAAAACCAGATAAAGACAGTACGAAAAAACAAAAACTATTGACCAATATCCTTCATGAATCCATATGCGAAAATCCTTAACAAAACTTAGTAAGTAGAGTTCAACGATATATAACAAAGAATTATACACTATGAAAAAGTAGGGTTTATTTCAAGGATGCAAAGTTGGTTGAGTATTTGAAAATCAATGTACTCTACCATATTAACAAGGTTAAAGAAGAAAAATCACATGGTCATATAAATCCATGCAGAAAAGTCATTTTAGGGACCCCTGGGTGGCTCAGGGGTTCAGCATCTGCCTTCGGCCCAGGGCGTGATCCTAGGACCCGGGATAGAGTCCCACCTACATTGGGCTCCTTGCATTGATCCTCCTTCTCCCTCTGCCTATGTCTCTGCCTCTCTGTGTATCTCTCATGAATAAATACATAAAATCTTTAAAAATACATACATACATACATACATACATACATACACACAAACAAACCACAATGAGGTATCACTACTCCTATCGGCTGGCTAAAATAAAAAAAAAGTGACAATACCACATGCTGGTGGGGATGTGGAGAAACTAGATCATCTATACACAGCTGATGAAAATGAAAGTTTAGCCATTTTGGAAAAGAGTTTGGTGGTTTCTTTAAAAACTGAACATACTACTCCCATATGACCCAGCATTCTTGTGCATTAATCTCAGAGAAATAAAGGCATATGTTCACATAAAAACCTGTACATGAATGTTTATAGCAGCTCTATCTGTAATAGTCACAGACAGGAATCACCCAGATATCCCTCATCAGGTAAACAGTTAAACTGTGATAATCCATACCAAGGAATACTACCCAGCAATAAAAAAATGAACCAACTATTCGTATACATAATCTGGATGAATCTCCAAAGAATTATGCTAAGTGAAAAAATGCCAACACCAAAAGCTTATATGCTGTATGATTCCATTCTTGAGATGACAAAATTACAAAAATGAAGAACAGATTAAAGGTTGCCAGGGGTTAATGAGGAGATGACAAGAATGAGGAGGTGGGTGTGCTCATGAAAGAACAAGATGAGGGATCCTTGTGGTGATGGAAATGTCCTATATCTGGAGTCTATCAATGACAATATCCTGGTTCTGATTTTATACTGTAGTTTGGCAAGATGTTACCATGGAGAAACATAGGAAAGAATGTAAGGGATCTCATTATTTTTTACATCTGCATGTGAATCTACAGTGATTCCAAAATAAAGATTTTATTTTTTAAAGATTTTATTTATTTATTCATGAGAGACAGATATATATATAGATATAGATATAGATATATATATATATATATATATATATATATATATATATATATATATATATGAGAGAGAGAGAGAGAGAGAGAGAGAGAGGCAGAGACACAGGCAGAGGGAAAAGCAGGCTCCATGCAGGGAGCTCCATGCGGGACTTGATCCTGGGACTCCAGGATCATGCCCTGAGCTAAAGGCAGATGCTTAACCACTGAGGCACCCAGGCATCCCCAAAATATTTTAATTAAAAAAAAAATTGGTAGTTGCTTCTTAGTTGTCTTCGTGAGTTTTCTCTACTGGTTAGAACTTGGAAGAAAAGTGGGGAGGTGAATGGAGAATATAGAGACCAACCCCTTATCATAAATCCCACAGGCAAGCAAACATTCAGAACTCAGCAGTGAAACTCAGAGGACAATAACAGATGCTCCTGGTTGGCCACAATGGGTTCTTTCTTGGTGGTGGTGTTGTTGTTCCCATCCCTGGTTAGAGAACTGGTGTTTACAGCGGAGAATAGTATTTAAATTTGACCAACAGCCAATCACAGTGCTATTACTGGAGCCACATGAACCTTCCACAGTTATTTTTATGCTTGGTTATGTCTGCTATAGTACATTTCTTGAGCAGTGGATATTTGATCAGTTTCTCTATAACAGCGATGTTCAATATAACTGCTGATAACCACATGTGGCTACTGAGCATTTGAAATATGCCTAGTCTGAACTGAAATGTGTCATAAGTGTGCAATGACACTCAATTTAGAAAAATCAGTTGTTTTTTAAAAAGATTATAAAATACCTTTAAAATATTTTTATATTGATTTCATGTTGAGATGGTAACATTTTGAATATACTGGGTTAAATAAAATAGATTATAAAAATCAATTTCATCTATTTCTTTTACTTTTTAAAAAATGTAACTACTGGGCAGCCCAGGTGGCTCAGCGGTTAGCACTGCCTTCAGCCCAGGATGTGATCCTGGAGACCCAGGATCAAGTCCCACATCAGGTCCCCTTCGTGGAGCCTGCTTCTCCCTCTGCCTGTGTCTCTGCCTCTCTCTGTGTCTCTCATGAATAAATAAATAAAAGCTTTAAAAAAAATGTAACTACTAGAAAATTTTAAATTACATTTGTGGCTTACAACAAACATTTCTACTGGATGACTTTTGAGGTTGAAACAAGGCTCTAAATTAACAACTTTTTAAGATTTTATTTATTTATTCATGAGAGACACACAGAGAGAGGCAGAGACACAGGCAGAGGGAGAAGCAGGCTCCCTGTGGGGAGCCCGAAGTGGGACTTGATCCCAGGACCCCAGGTTCACGCCCTGAGCCAAAGGCAGATGCTCACTTGCTAAGCCACCCCAGGCGTCCCCTGAATTAACAACTTCAAACAAGCCCCAGCAGTATCTTTTTGATGACTATAAAGCTGAGTGATTATGACTTCATGATCAGATTATAAGTACATTTATTTCTTAGCTTTCGAGTAAAGGAAAGTGTTCTCAGCTGGGTCTCTACAGACCCTGGATTTGCTGAAAAGCATTCAGTTAATAGAAACTGAGTGCTCCAAGGAGTTGCCAGATTATTTTGGGAGAGAATTTTTTGCTATAGTGCCTGGAATAATTGAGAAGGCAGCTGGAAAGAGTCTCCAAAATCAGGGAAATGGAATGTTACTTACACAAACTGAGAAAAAAAAAATCTGGCTCGGATTTTTGTTTATGACATGCCTCCACATCTCTTTTGCCTCTGCCAGGTCATTTTCTTTGTGCCAAATGCAAGAAGTTTCCAGTGAAGGGAGGCATATTTTTGAAAAGCTCAGGCTTGTTCTGCTTTATACATTAACTTACAAAAAGCATGAGGGAAATTTCCCTCTAAGTATAGTGTTGAAAACATCTCTCATGAAACTTGAGGAAAGTGCTTTTGTGTGTTCAAGATGTCTGTGCATCAACCTCTCATGTCCTCCCTTCATCCTCCTCCAGGGTTGGGGGGCAATCCTGAGAGAAAAGTATAGGAAGTGAAATTGATGTCATGAGCAACTCTTCAGCTCCTACTCAGAGCAGCATGGAGTTGTATTCAGAGTCCCCAAAGTTCACACCTTCTTACTTCCTCCCACAGTGTCCATCCAACAGCTGAACTCCTTGCCCTCACCATATACTAAAAGGGTTCCTCAACAAGTTATTCCTAGGTGTGTGCCATAAAACAGGCTGTATTTTTTCATAGAAAGTGTTACAACTAAAGCACAGATATGCTGAATAATATTTCACAGAAAGCAAACATAGCCTATAGGAAATTTAAGGTAAAAAAAATACACTGCGAGGGAGGCCTGGGTGGCTCAGCGGCTGAGCACCTGCCTTTGGCTCAGGGCGTGATCCCATGGTGCCAGGATCGAGTCCCACATTGGGTTCCCTGCATGGAGCCTGCTTCTCCCTCTGCCTACATCTCTGCCTCTCTCTCTGTGTGTCTCTCATGAATAAATAAATAAAATCTTTAAATACACTGCTAAATTTTAAAAGATGCTCACAAATGTACTTTACAAGGGGACCAATATACTAAAAGATTATGTCCAGCAAACACAAATATAATTTTACCAACCCAAGTTTGACCTAATACTAAAATGTTAGCAATCCTAAGTAATGAATACTTAAAACAAATTTTCTTGCCTTCTTACAAGTTAGAAAGGCTTTTGGGAGATGATGTGAATATCCCACTTATAAAGTTTTCCAAGGAAGTCAGAATGACAGCTTCTTTTCCCTCTTGATAGTCTCTAATTTTGATTATATTGCCCTCATGTAACTATATTGTTGATTGTGCTTTGTAAACATCAGACTCAATAGTATATAATTTATAGATGGGAATTCAAAAAATCATGAACATCTCATCAAATACTGGTCCCATTTGTACTTGCCTTTCTCCAGTGACAGGAAACTTACTTCCTATAGAAGCAGTCCATTCCATTTTTAGATCTCTCTCCTTTCACTGAGTCTTAGGTTATTTTCCTGTATTTCCTCACTTACTAATTCCCTTCAGAAAGTCAAAGAACAAGGCAAATCCCTCTTCTTTATACCAGCTCTCTCCTCAGAGTGCTAATGTACCTGGTTCTCTAGATAACAAGAGTCTGAGAAAGTTGAAGGAATTGTCCATACTCTTTGTGCTGTGTTGAAGCACTTTAGGAAGTAGTTAATCTTTCACAAAGTTAAAGGTCTCTCATCAGACTATATTTAAGTACAGACAAATATACTTTGTACTTAAAAAAAAAATCATCTTATTTATTTAGAGGAAATCTCTTTATGACAAGTAATGCTGTTTTGTTTCTGGATCAGTGAGTGCATTGGGCTAGAATAAATTCAAGTAACTAATCATCCTTACATGTGAAAACAGTTTCTTCTTAAAGGCCACCCTTTGTGTTGCTCGATCACACATAATCTGCAAAGCCCGTTCTGCCAGACCTACTGTTCTCATACAGTGGTGGATCCTGCCAGGCCCAAGGCGGCCTTGGGCAATTTCAAATCCCCTACCTTCACCTGTAAGAAAGAAGGGAGAATGTGAAAGTGGCCACAGCCCACCTATTCTGTTATTTACACAAATCTTGAGAAAATGATGAACGGCCCTCTCAATGAGAATGGCATTCTGGTAGGGGGAAAAAAAAGTTCTATAATAATGTGCATTATTTATGGAAATTTTGATCTCTATGTTTTTAAACCACCATTGTTAAACATTTCAATCCAATTTAAGAACTGTCTTGAGTACCAACTATGCATATGCTAGTTCATAAGGTTTCAGCAGTAGATAAGACACAAGTCTCTCTACTGGGAGTTCAGAATCCAGAAGAGGGGCAAGGATGCTAGGAATAAGGGATATGGTGGAGAACAAGAAAGGCAAAGGAGAGAGGGATGTACCCTGAGGGCCTGGCAGGCAGCAGGGGTTTATTGAGTAGATTGGGTGAAGAACACAAAATCTTTCTGAAAGAAGTACCACTTGCAGTGTTCACTGAAGTTTAGGGTAGGATTCCAATAAGCAAGAGGATGAAATGAACCAGGCATTTACTATGCAAACTTATTTATGCTTCTAATATGTTTATATATAAGACTTGAATTCAGAAAGTTTTGAGGTTTCTTAAAATGAGAACTGAAGATGTTTTAGAAAAAAAAAATGTTGCTCCGAATTGTACATTTTTTGTATTTAGCTATATATGATATATAAAACCACATCAAACACTTAAATGAAATATTATCCCATGTAAGAAAATCCACCATGAAAAAAATGTTCCCTTATAAATGGGGTAAGAGGGAAAAGTATCTAAGAGAAAAAAAATATGTAAACTAAAGTACATTTCCTATCTTTTCCAGATTTAGACCTGAAAATATTTTAGTACACAATACTGAAGAATCATTTTTCCAAACTTATCTCACCTAGTATTAAATTGGTGGCAGGAACTCGTACTTGATTAAAATGGATCTCAAAATGTCCTCCATGGAAATTATCTGTAAAATAGAAAATAAAAAATTTTTAAATATTTTATTTATTTGAGAAAGAGATAAAGATAGAGAGAGTATGAGCAGGGGAAAGGGAAGAGAAGCTGGCTCCCTGCTGAGCAGGGAGCCAATGGGGGGCTCTATCCCAAGAACCCCAAGATCATGATCTGAAGGCAGATTTAAAAAATATATTTTTTATTTATTTATTCCTGAGAGACACAGAGAAAAGCAGAGACATAGACAGAGGGAGAAGCAGGCTCCTCACAGGGAGTCCAATGTAGGGCTCAATCCCTGGACCGGGATCACGCCTTGAGCCAAAGGCAGATGCTCAACTGTTGAGCCACCCAGGTGTCCCATGCAGGCAGATGTTTAACCAACTGAACCACTCAGGTACCTCAGAAAACATAATTTTAAAGAGCAAAATGAGTTGACCAAAAAATTGGTCATATATAATTAATATTAATCAAAGAAATTACTCAGAAGGCACAGAACTTAAAAGCCTCATATATCAGGTATTCCTAGGTAGACCTTAAGCTCTGAACCCCTAGCCCCACAGCCCAGGAAACTCATAAACTGTTCCACTTAGATTTTAGAAATTATTTGATCTAGAGGTTTTCAAACTCATTTTCTGAAGTTTGTAGAGTTACTAAAAGGGAAGGCGGCCTCATAGGTCCAATCAGATTATCTTATTATTACTTTATTATTATTTCTTGAGATTTTTTTTTTTTAAATTTTTTTTTAATTTTTATTTATTTATGATAGTCACAGAGAGAGAGAGAGAGAGGCAGAGACACAGGCAGAGGGAGAAGCAGGCTCCATGCACCGGGAGCCCGATGTGGGATTTGATCCCAGGTCTCCAGGATTGTGCCCTGGGCCAAAGGCAGGCGCCAAACTGCTGCGCCACCCAGGGATCCCTCTTGAGATTTTTAATATATGAACTTCCATAGAAAATTTTGCTTGGGGGAAAAATGGTTTCAATAGTCCAAAACTTGAAAGTGAATAATGTAGTTTAAGGCTGTTTTGTTTTGAGAGAGTGAGGACAAGAGAGCGAGAGAGCAAGAGAGAGCACAAACAGGGGAAGTGACTGGCAGAGGGAAAAGAGAAGTAGGCTCTCCACTGAGCAGGGAGCCCAACGTGGGGCTGGATCCCAGGATTATGATCTGAGCTGAAGGCAGACACTTAATCCACTGAGCCACCCAGGTGCCCTGTAATTTGTTTCTTATTTTATCACTGTGTAAATCAATGCCTGAAGCTGCAAAAAACCTGCAAGAAGGGACAAAGCAGGCTCAGCATTCAAGACAAAGCAGAGACTACTCCCAGTCCAGGATTGTTCACTATGTGTTTGCCTCTTGGAAATGCTGGCATTTGATGGAGACTGGGAACACTTTAGTCTTTACATCACACTGCCTACCCCTCCTCAGACTCCCTACCCCACCCTTAAGTTCTAGAGATAATCTCATGCTAACTCCACACCCTTTTCCTGTCAGAATAGACATTAATAATCAAACTTCTCCAGAGTTGTTTCTTTTGGCCTTGCGTGTAGCGAGTTGGAGAGGGGCTGTACATTTGTCTCACTGAAAATTTAAACACAGGTTCTAAAATGGAGGTGATTTCCAGGCAACATAAATTATAAATCCATTTTGGGGGTCTTAGGGTTGTAAGATCAAGTCTCTCATTGGCTAAGGGCTCGGCATGGAGCCTGCTTAAGATTTTCTCTCTCTCTGCCTCTTCCCCCCATTCTCTGTCTCTTAAAAAAAAAAAAAAAAAGAATTTTACTGTGGATTACTTAGATTTAATTTTTCTAGGGATGCCTGGATGGCTCAGTGGTTGAGCGTCTGCCTTCAGCTCAGGGCGTGATCCAGGAATCCAGATCGAGTCCCACATTGGGTTCCCTGCAGAGAGCCTGCTTCTCCCTCTGCCTGTGTCTCTGCCTCTCTCTCTCTCTCATGAATAAATAAATAAATATTTTTTTAAAAAAGATTTAGTTTTTCTAAGTTTGTTTCATTAACTAACTCATTCTCCTAGATGACAGAAGCAGAGTCTCAACTGCTGTTCCTTGAATACAATCTACCCTTTCCCAAAAGTAAACAAAATGATGTCCAATGATGCATTGCCTCTCTTTGCTTTTTTTTGTTGTTGTTGTTAAGATTTTATTTATTTATTCATAAGAGACACAGAGAGAGAGGCAGAGACACAGGCAGAGGGAGAAGCAGACTCCATGCAGGGAGCCCGACGTGGGACTTGATCTTGGGACTCCAGGATCACACCCTCAGCCAAAGCCAGCTGCTCAACCGCTGAGCTACCCAGGCGTCCCTTTATTCTGAATTTTACTGGCATTTATGTTAAAACCGTTGTCAGCACCAAAGGATTTCTAAGAATATATCTACTGCATTATAATGCTATCTGTTTCCTTCAGTATTACTGCATATCTCAGTGATCCTGCTTGCACACTTCTGTTGTTTGAGTACTTACCTATGTAGCCAAAAACTGACAAAGGCCTTATTATTTCTACACCAGGTGTGTTGATAGGAACAAGAACCATGCTGTGTTGTTTGTATCTGGTTAAAGAAAAACAGATGTTAGGAAAAGTGTGCTAAGTGGAAAAATAAAACAGCTGTTAGACGGAGTTGCAATTGTCCTTTTTTGGTTGTTATTATGTACATGCAAGCAATGATGTCTGGAATGGGAATTGTGTGGAAGACATACATCAAGCACAGTTGGATGTAGGCTGTGATCTGGAACAGTAATAATGATATGAAAATCAATTAAAGTTACTTGATTGAGGCTTCTCATTGTTCAGCAATGGAAACTGGGAACTGATAATATCAAATGTTGCAAGACTATATTGTCTTTGATCTATAGTCTAATCACATAATTATTTACAGATCATTCTGAAAATTTTTATGTCCTATAATCTGATCCAAACAGCTTTGAGGATTCAGCAACACTTTTTAATACAGGAAATTCCACAGTGAGGAACATATAGCAACTCCCTAAAATGTTTCTTAAATAAATCTTATAGTAAAATAACTATGAAACACAAATGTGACATTAATCTCATACTTTATATTATTATAATCTATAAGTTCAACTGGTCCATTTTTTAAAAGAAATTTCTTTAGAGAGGGGTGGAAGAAGCAGAGGGAGAAGAGAGAGAATCTGAAGCAGGCTCCATGCCCAACACAGAGCTCAGTCTCATAACCCTGAAATCATGATCTGGGCTGAAATCAAGAGTCAGACACTTAACTGACTGAGGCACCCAGGCACCCAAACCAAATGGTGCATTTTAAGTAAATTACATGGGTAGAAAGAAAGGGTGATTTTTATTCCTAATTAGATTTCTCAATCACAATTATTTTATTACCTGGTTGCAGAGGCATTTTTAGTTCTTCCCAAAACAATTGCAATTGTGCACTTTGGATTTCCAGCTCCTAAAACCAGGGAGAAAATGAGAATACACCATAAAAAGAAATTTTGAGTCTGACATTTCACCCTAAAAGTTCTAATCCTTCTAAGTTTACTTTGAAAAAAAAAAAAGGAAGAAAACCCTTGACTCATTAAAAAATGCTTACGTACAAAACTGTACATCACCCAAGAAAAATGACCATGCAGAGCCAAGAGTGGATTCCATTAATGACAGCTGCTGCACAAAAGGAACCAGAAGTCGAAGCCATGAAACACTGCAACCCTTAAGACAAATTACGGCTCTCCCATTCATACTATTTTGGCATGTTAGAAAAGTGGTAAAATTCCTTTAGTGTATTTCCTCCTGCTTATTAGATCTCCTATTTTCTGACATATGAACGACAAGGTATTAACACTCACATGGTATTAACTACCTAGTCAGTGGCTGAGAAAGACCTCATTTCCCCCACCATGGAGTTGGGGGAAGGTAAGCTGGTCTGAGGATCTTAGTACCCATACTGACTATACCATTTGGGCTTGACATACTAGAGCCGCTGAGGATGCTTTACTTGGGCTTGTCCACATATATACCACTCTGATTCTGATGTCAGTAAGCCTAGGTTCTCTCTTTTTTTTTATTTATTAAAGGTTAGAAATTTGAAATACAAAGTTCTTTCAATTTTAATGCAAACTTTAATTTGATTATAGTTCAGAGCTCTATAGTAGTTGCCCAAAGAGGCCTTCTTACAAAAACTACATTTCTTTTTCACCAGGTAAGTCTAAGCTTCTGGTCCCTCAGGGAAAATCCCATTTAAAATCCCATTTAACTGGCTTTCTAATTACAAAGCCACATACCACAGGGGCAGACTAATTTAAAGACATCTGTAGAGAGCCTTAAACAAATTATCAGATTCTTTTTTTCTCTTAAAGATTTTATTTATTTATTTATAAGACACACACACACAGAGGCAGAGACACAGGCAGAGAGAGAAGCAGACTCCCCAAGGGGAGCCTGATATGGGACTTGATCCCAGGACCCCAGGATCACGACCTGAGCCAAAGGCAGATGCTCAACCACTGAGCCACCCATGTGCCTGTTTTTTCTAACTTCGTATAAAAAATGGTTTCAAGAGATCTGAAATCATATGAACATTCAATGAGAAATGTTGAGAATCATGTCAAGTACAGTATTGCCACCTTATCCACAAGGGACATGTTCTAAGATCCCCAATGGAGGCCTGAAACTTTAATAGGACCAAACCCTATATATACTGATTTTTCCTATACATAGACACTTATGATAAAGTTTAATTTATAAATTAGACATAGTAAGAGATTAACAACCAATAATAAAATAGAACTGTAACATTATACTGTAATAAAAGGTTGTCAATGTTGTTGATTAGGCAAGAAATAGAGACCAAGGCCAACAGATAAAGAAACAGAAGGATAAAAGTCAAGAGTAAAGTCAGAGCAAAGGGAAACTCCAGGACTCCCATTTGAAATTTTAAAATTCCTTACAATTGAATAGAAGAAACAAAAGAAACAGAATGTATAGTTATGGCTCTTATGTTTTTGGTCTGAGGAGATCCTGAATAAGCAGAAAACCATACTATAGAAACCAATCTAGAATTTGCTAGAGTTCAGAATGGAAACTGAATTGGTAGCTTATTTATTTAGAAAGTATGCACATGAGGTAGGGTAGGGACAGAGGAAGAAGGAGAGAGAAGGTTCCAAGCAGACATCACAATGAGTGAGGAGCCTGACTTGGGTCTCAATCCCTTGACCCTGAGATCATGACCTGAGCTGAAATCAAAAGTGGGATGCTCAACTGACTGGACAACTCAGGTGCCCCTTGGTAGCTTTTCTCCAAACAACTTGGAGAAATTCAAGATTGTAGAAACTTGTTTGTCCCCCACTACTCCTGAGATTCCATTGAAATAAATGTATAAAAGTACAATAAAGGCATAACCATAACAGAAAAGGAAGTAAAGAAGGTGAGGCACTGGATTAGGGGTGTTGGTGGTCACCAACGGATGAAAGATTTCAATAAATATCTAGGAAACAGATAAGGCAAATTGATCAATGAAATGAACAGAGAAGTCAGAGTCTGGAAAATGATGTAAGAAACTACAAAGGGAGAGGGTTCTGGCCTCAGAGTCAGAAGGTATAATTGAGAAGCAAGGTGACCAAAGGTGAATTAATTCAGGATTTACAGGTGGGCAGATATATTAGCTGGCAATCCTATAGGCAGATATATGATACTTAGCCTGAAGGAGAAGTATGTAGTATTTTACAGAACAACAACAACAACAACAACAAAAAACCCAAAAAACTGAATAAACTTATTCTGAGACTTGGGAGGATGTAACTTGGAAACTAGCTTCCCATCAGTGACTCTAAACTGAATCCCAGTCCTCCTCCACAAAAGGTTTCTTTATAAAATTCTCATCTAGGAGAGGAACATGGCTGGAAAAGAGCCCTGTAAAAAGCTCTGCCATTTACCCTTCCTTTTCCTCTTAAAGTATGAACAGAAAACCAAGGATCTGTAGTATGTGAAGAGAGACTGCAGCATTAAAGAGAATGACTGACCAAAATAAATAAACTATAAAACTGACCATAGAGGAACAAAAAAACAAGAAACAGACAGAACCTAAGCAAAGCAAAACAAAACAAAATGAGCTAAAGCAAACGACAAAAACTCTGGTTGATGTAATTGGAGAGATTTATATATATTGCAACCAGAAAACCAGAAAAGGATGTTACGAAACAGGAACAACCAGAGGACAAGAAAATAAAAACTCTCAGAGATTAACATATGATTGCTAAAGCATAAAGTTCAATAGAAGCACTAAAAATCAAATCAAGAAAATTTTTGATAAGCAGAAGAAAAAGAGGTCAAGGGCAGCCCGGGTGGCTCAGTGGTTTAGTGCTGCTGTTAGCCCAGGGACTGATCCTGGAGACCCAGGATCCAGTCCCATGTCAGGCTCCCTGCATGGAGCCTGCTTCTCCCTCTGCCTGTGTCTCTGCCTCCCTCTCTCTCTGTGTCTCTCATAAATAAATAAATAAAATCTTAACAACAACAAAAAAAAAAAAAAAAGAAAGAAAGAAAAAGATTGAAAATACGGGAGCAAAGATAAGAGACACTTAGAGCAAAAATATGAAGTCTAAGATCACAGTAAAATAGGTTTAATAAAGAGAAAATAGTCAAAAAAAGAAAAATAAAGGGAAGAATTTATTAAAGAAACTTGAAAGTCCTCTAAAACTGAAAAAAAAAAAAGTCTTTAGATTAAAAGGACCATTAAGGGGTGCCTGGGTGGCTAAGTTGGTTAAGTGTCTGCCATTGGCTCAGGTCATGATCCTGGGGTCCTGGGATCAAGTCCCGCATTGGGCTCCCTGCTCAGAGAGGAGTCTATTTCTCCCTCTCCTTTGCCCCTTCCCCTGGCTTGTTCTCTCTCTCTCAAATAAATAAATAAATAAAATCTTAAAAAAAAATAAAAGGGCCATTGACTGGCAGGAAGAATCTAGCTACATGTTTGTGACATTTCAAAACATAAGCAATAAAGAGAAAATCCTAAAGGAAAAAAGAAAAAAACAAGCCACCTCTAAAGGAATGAGGATTAGACTTGCATCATCAGGGATGCTAGATAAAGAATTCAATCTAGCATTCTTTTTTTTTTTTTTTTTTTAAATACAGGTGTCAGCAGGGTTGGTTCTTTTTTTTAAAAAAATTATTTATTTATTTATGATAGTCACACAGAGAGAGAGAGAGAGAGGCAGAGACACAGGCTGAGGGGGAAGCAGGCTCCATGCACTGGGAGCCCAATGTGGGATTCGATCCCAGGTCTCCAGGATCGCGCCCGGGGCCAAAGGCAGGCGCCAAACCGCTGCGCCACCCAGGGATCCCTCAATCTAGCATTCTATACCAATCATAGCATCAATCTCTGTGAAGGTAAAATAAATACCTACCTATTCAGACACGCAAGATCTCAGATAAATTTATTTACTTATGCATCTTTCCTCCAAAAGTTAAGAATGTACTCAAGCAAAATAAGGAAGTAAATGAAAAAAAAAAAAAAGTCATAGGATCCAAAAGATAGTCAATTCCAGGAAAGCAATATATGGAAATCCCAGGATAATTGTACTGATATGCCTAAAAGATAATCAGTTCAGATTGCAATAGGAAGAATAAAGACTCTAAAAGAAAGGTCTCCAGAAAAAGGAAAATTCAATAGAATTACAGGTATAATTTAAAGATATATAGGTGTATATGTAAGGGGGAGGAGATATGATACAAATAAATAATGCAGTGAAAGAAAAATGAAAATTAGAAATTATAGGAAAATAATTTTTAAATATACAAGTGAACCATGATCCAAATATAAAGCCAACTAGAATATGGTATGAATTTAAGTAATATATAGAGTATAAGAAAAGCTATTCTAATTGACTTTGATGCTAGAAACAGTCTTCTTAGAATGGCCAAGGTGATATTATACAGCAGCTATTAGAGGACATGAAATATAATATACTACTTAGGCCACCACTGAACAATATCTACACAGTCCTATAAGACAAGTACTTTGTATTGGTTTTCAATGCTTAGAGTCAACTTGTGGTCAATCATGATTTTGCAAAACAGAATGTAAATGTTAGTAATCTTGACAATGTAAAAGTAGAAGCTATTGCTGATGTAAGGTACAATACGGAAGGAGGAGATAAAAGGTAGAGAAAGTGATATGAGTATTCATATTCTTATGTTATAAATAAAATTAATCTTGAGATTCTGTCAAATGAGATTGTAGAGGACAGATTTAGAGATCATTTCAAAGTTTAAAAAGTCATCAATCAAAAATTTAAAACAATAAATATCTAATTAGGAAAATGCAGAGTTATGGTACAAATGAGTGAAATCATTATTCAAATAGGGGGAAGTCAGTAGAGGAATAAATGGATAAATTAGGAGAGAGAAAAAAGCATTTTACCTAAGATTAGAGCAAAAACCAGAGAACTAAAAATAGAAAAT